GTGGTGGTGGTGGTGGTGGTGGTGGTGATGCTGGTGCTGCGAGCTGGGTGCGCAAGGGTCCGACTAGGACAGTGGTCGTAAGCAAGTAGTGGTGTAGTGAACGCTGGAGCGTATGGCGTGAGAGAGATATATGGTCGTGGCAATGCTGGATGGCTGAGTCGGGCGAGCAACTGGTGTTGTGAAGAGGGGGGAAGGGAGGCTGACCAATCTCGGAGGCTTGGATGCACGCGACACCTTCTTGGTGCGCCGACTGTAGACCAATGGAAGCGGATGCTAGGGTTGGGGCGCGAGATGCCAAGTGCTGTGCGGAGGTGAGGAAGCGATCCTAGCTGTCGCAGCTGCAATACGGTAGATGGGAAGGCGAGGCAGCGGCGAAGAGAGACGCTAGCAGATGAGCTAGCTTTGGATGTCGACTAGTGCATGCAAGGCTGGAGAGCGAGGTGAAGAGTGATGGTCGAGAGGAATGCGAGAGCGAATGAAGCGATCCAAGTCTGCGTCATGAGCAGCTTGCAGATGGGAACGACGAGGTGGGCGCAATGGAGCAGAAAGAAGCTACTGCGGCGTGCCGTCGGGTGAGGGTGGGGCGGTTCGAGAAGCTGATTGCAGTCGGCTCAGCAAGTTCGGTGCAGCGAGACGATCGGTACGCCGAGCAGGTGCGACAGTTGCGACATGCGGTGCGGTAGAGATGCCGGGGTGAGTGAGTAGCAGCAGCAACAGGTGGGAGGACGAGGCGAGGCAGGCGAAAGAGGCTCGACCAACCGCGGGCGAGGCTAGGCTTGGTGAGGCTCTGTGGCGGAGGAGGGGGCTCTAGAACGCGACTGGGCCTCGGTGCCGGAGCGTCGGAAGTGGGCGGCGGCAGCAGCGGCGGCGGCTTGGAGCTGGTTGATGGCTGTCGAGGAGGAGGCGGAGGAGGCGGTGGGGCGTTGTGCGAGTCAAGGTGAAGCTAGAGGCTAAGCGACGCCCAAGCGAGCCAAATTAGTGGGCATCTGCACACCACCCGCATCGGCGCCTACAATTGCCCGCCCTTCCGCCCTTCCGCCCATGCCATCCAACACTCTTTTAGCCTCCCCGCCCGCCCAAATCCAGAACCGCTGGGGAGAGAAAAAAAAAATGGGGAACGCAATTTCGAAATGAAAGCTGTCGCCGACGAGATTGCGGTCTCGGCGGCCGCAGCGGCGGCAGTGGCATCGGCTGGCTGCTTAGCCATGTCGGTGTGCACAAGCCTTCAACACGCTAGCCCATCATTCCATCTGCTGTGACGATGCCAGCAAGATATGCTTGCTGTTGTGGAGGAGAGAAGGTTGCAGGTCAGGTGCTAGCTAGCTAGGTCCGCCGTTTCAGGTGCACAAAGCTGCACCAGCTGCACTGACTGCGTTTCACGATCTCAAAATTTCCGGGCGTGCAAGTTGGGCTGGACTAGGCGACGTGCGGCCTTTCTGCCTCGAAGAATTTTCGTCTGGAGCTTCGACAGCACTCGACGCTCAACTTCTCGTGCATGAGTTCGAAAAAGAAAAAAAGAAAAAAGAAGAAAAAAAAAA